AGTTATTACTATAATAAATAATCTAAAGTATTTTATAATATCTTAGGTGTCCTCAGAAATATTTATATATATACTAGGTATAGTTATATTTACTATGAAATAGTCCTAGTAGTCTCTTTTCTAATACCTTCCTGAGTTTATAGAAATATTTATTTAACTAGTGTCTATATCTTTAATACTATAGAGGATATCTATTATATCTAGATATATGCTTATCCTATAACTCTGCTTAGGTCTAGTATTCTAGATTCTAGTAGATGCATCCTTTCACTCCTTATTTTACTTTATTAAGGATCTATATATTTAGCTAGTATGCTTATAGCTCTGCTAACTACTTCTTATCTAGCTATTATAGCTATATAGTATATTGATCTGCTTCATAATTATCTTTTAGGGAATTATCTTAAGATATCTTAGGAATCTTATAAGACTACTCCTTACTAGGATTAAGGCTTACCTACTAAGTTCTATACTCTTTATTAAGTAGATTAATAGGGCAGTTAATTATAGTCTAATCTATTATAGGAAAATCCTCTTAATCTAGCTCTTTATAGTTAGTCTTTTCTTCATTAGAACTAATAATCCAATCTTCTTTAGTAAGTATTATCCATTAGTGAATAAGCCCTCTAGATATAATATTCCCCTAATTAATAAGACTATCTTTATTACTATTTAATAATTTCTAATTAGTAGCTATAAGTATATTTAAGTCTTTAGTAGGCTAATTATTATTTATACTTCTATACTTAGTAGAGTCTTCCTCTTAAAGCTCCTACTTAATTTTATTATTATTAAGAGTTATGCATTCTTTATATAATTTTCTTAGCTATTTATTACTCCTTTTTTTAACTATAATAATACTAGTTATATTATAGGCTTCTCTACTAGCATAGAACTCTACTATTACCCTAAGCTATTTTATTTTATCCTGCTAACCTTTCCTGGGTTATTACTTATAGTCTTTTAATATGTATCTAGGTTTCCTATACTAGAAATATAACTTATTATATTATTACTATTCTCTTTCCTTACTAGAAAGTGCTAATTATATTATATCTAACTTTATTAGATATAGCCTATAAGGATCTATATATCCTTAGCTCTATAGCTAAGCTAGCCTTTTATTATTTAGTTAATAACTTATGGTGCACCTGCTACTAAAGGTATTCTAGTTATTTTATTCCTTCCTATATATATAAAAATCTTATAATTTATTATTAATCTTAACTACTTATTTAATTATTCTGCTAAGCTTATCTAGTTACTCTATCTAAATTAACTTTTCTTAGATATCTGGTTTTAAGCCTTCTTTAAATTATATAATATTTATATCTTTATCCTAATTTAAATAGGATATAATCTATTAGAATTATAATATATATTCCCCTACAGATCCTATCTATTTAAGCTGCTATAACTATCTCTTAGTATTATGCTCTTTATTAATATTACTAAAAGTATTCTCTAACTATTTCTTAAATATATTATAACTAGTAAATATTTTATCTATTTTATTAGCCTAGTTATCATCAGCGTGCTCCTGATAATCCCTAATAAAAGATTTAAACTAATTAAATGCTAGTCTAGTTAGATAAGTTATAGTAAATAAGACTTTATCTACTTTATTAATAAGTTTTTCTTAGTTTATCTAGACATATATATCTAATTATATAAGAAATACTTATAACTTAGATTAACTTCTATTAAATAGTTCTAGTAATCTAATCTTAATAGATTTAACTGCTAGTTAACTATTCAGAGTTTTATTCTGCTATTCTAATTAAAAAATGTGCTCCTAGAGCTATTCTACTATATCTATTAGGTCTTCTATTATAACCTAAGGCTGTTGAGTTCCTGCCCTTCTAATATTTAAGCTAGTTAGGGTCTGTGGTGTGTTTCCTACTATAATATTTAATATTAAGAGTTAGTTAAACTTCCTAAAGTAATTTATACTATATAGTATTTAATTTATTACACCCTAGGATCTGTCTCTACTATTCTCTGCTAGTTAATAACTTTAGGAATAGGGTGATATAGTCCCTGGACTATATCTAATACTTACCTAAGGCCTACCCTCTGTAGTAGTCTACTATATACTAACCTAGGTATATAGTATTGTGTGATGCAATAATCTAACTAGGATCTAATATAATCTAAAGGTATAATAATCTTATCTAAGATTAAGGATAATAAGAATAATAATAGTAGAGATAGAAGYAAGGCCTATTARRKATATATMYYTAATAGTAAGAGAGTAACTAATAAATTAGACTAGTAAACTTATACTTAAGTAAGTTATCTTTATTAAATATAAAGAACTAAACTAAGATCTCTAGATATAGTAGTAATAAGTATCCTTATATAGTATCTATAGCTACTCCTTTAACTACTCTTCTAGAGTAGTTCTCTTAGTAGTTCTTTACTACTCCTTTAGCTACTTCTTTATAGTAGCTAGATTAGTAGCCTCCTCTTACCTACTCTCTTATCTTATTATAGGAGTATCTAATCACATGACCTGAGGCTTAGCTATTTTATAAGGTTGTCCTCTTGCAGGGTCAACTGGCTAAGGCTTGCTGGTGTTTCTGTTGGTGCCATAACAAATCACTTTAGATTATAGTCTATAGTTTATTAGTAAGTTCTAGGGATACTTCTATAAATAACTTAGTATCTAATAGTATCTTTCTATAGTTTTTTATCCACAGATAGATGGGTAGATTAAATAAATAAATATAATATTAGAAGCCTACCTATAGAACTTCTATAACTATATCTAGACTAATTAGAAATTATTACTACTAATAGCCTAGCTTACTATTAATAGCTAGAATACTATAAGTATAAGAGTTAGTTCATTCTTCTTAGATTATAGCTATAATATTAAGCTATTAGAGGTTAAAGAACTAGACTATAAAGCTACTACTACTAGTATAGTCTATTTACTAAAAGCTAGGACTAAGATAATTATAATAAAAATAAGAGAGGCTACTAATATAGTCTAGTTAGAGCTAGCCTCTACTTAGTAGTACTAGAAGGAGTATTTAAACTACTCCTAACTATTAAGTCTATATTATATAGTTAAATTAAAATTATAGCTAGACCTATAAAATATCTAAATAGACTATCCTAGCTATAAATTAAATATATAGTATATAAAGTTTATAGTACTTAAGGCTATTAACTTATATATATATTAGTTACATACTCCCCTAGGGGTGTATAATATATTTTATATTAGCCTTTTATACCCTACTATAAGTAACCTATTCCTAAGTTAGTTAAATAGTAATTACTAGCCACTAGCTAAGCTAGTTAATAGTGAAGCTAAGTATATAGTTAAACAGATATTATAGAAATATAAGAAGTAGATTAGATAGGGCTATTAGAAGGAGTACTTTATTAAATAAGTAGATTATAAATAGCCTATATAGGAGATAGCTATTAACTTTATTAATATAGCAGTGCTTAATGCTTAGAAGGCATGCCAGCCTTAATCTAAGGGGGGGGGAGTATAGCAGGCAGGGCCTGCTAAATACTTATACTTACTAAGCCCTTATGATCTGCCTTAGGTACTAGTGAACTCCTATCTAGCTAGGATAATAGTAGTTATATAGTCTTACTTACTGTTCACACACCCTCTTTTATGTTTGACCACTGCAACCCTAGTTAGAACTCTTCAGCAATTTCTTACTGTCTGAATCTAGGTTATAGATTCATATGGCTCCTAGCCCGTGACAGCTGGCAGCTAACTAAGTCATATTATCATATAGTTATACCTATTAGCTAACTGAATTCATAACCATCCCCCAGGGCTGTTGCACAACATTTACTGAGATAACAAAGTAGGTGGTAAGTTGAAATAGACCATTACTTATCCTATATAAATGTGAAAGGACAAGCCCAATTGCTACAGTGATACTATATTTCCATGGCTGGGACCTGTATTTAGGCCATAATACATGGATTAAGCGCCCACTCATTTGAACCTATTCTAAGAGAAGACGCACATTAGTAGATGAACTCTAAGTTAATCTATATTATATCTCATTATATAGGTAGTGGCTATGACTCCTGGTAAAGAGTTGAGCACCTAGGAAGAGCACTATAGATATAAGGCCCTTGAATTAGCCCACTTATACCCTAGTTTTACCAGCTTTAGAGATTAATCTATTACACTTAAGTATTCTCTAAATAGTATCTAATCTAGTCAGTGCTAGATCTAGCTATACTCTGTGAATATTACCTATATAATACTATTAAATAAAGATTATTTTGAACGCAAAAGGGTGAAAGGAACCACTGTGTAAATGTACAACCAGAATAATAGCGACTTGTGGTAAGCCTCGTACTCCTCAGTCGCCATAATGCCGCTGCTAAATACTCCTTGGTTACATTAGTCGTGAACCCACGTCTGAAACTGAGTTGTCTTACAGATATAAATGTTGCGTCTTCTGATTTGTCTGCCGAGTATGCTCCGCCCAGTTTAGTGTAAGATCAATTCTTGCGGGAGCAAAAGTCAATGACCAATTTGGTGTTGACTAACAGAGTACACTAATGAACTAGACGCAAAATCAAAAGAATCTTTCAAGCTTACAGCTCTGTGTGTGTGTGTGTGTGTGTGTGTAATTCATACACTGACCCCTCACCTTAGCTATAACCCTGGATTGAAGTACAAGTGTGATGAACTTATTTCTAACTATGCTAGTAGACGCAGCTATTTGTAGTCACAGTAGCTGCCCTATATATCATGTGACCTGGGATCCAACCGCCTTGGCCATATGCAGGTAACCACTACAGTAACGCGCGGCTGCGCACGCTGTGGCCCTGAAACAATGAAAGTGTAGGGCTGGGGTGAGAAAGTCAAAGAATAAAGGGACATTGGTTTGATTCACTGATACTTCATAATGCAAAAGAGCGGTGACGAATGAGAAGGTAGATAACTAGTTAACTAGATATTATGACCAATAGCCGCTCGAGCATCGACTTCGTCGACGTATTGACACTTAGTCGACAAACAGATTAAGCTGAAGCTCTAGGTCACTATTAACCTGTGCTTTCTTGAAATATCTTTCGCAGTGGTAACTGTTTAAAGTTAGCAGTGGATATACAAGCCAGTGTTCAAATAGGGAAGCAGCAGCCTGCACAAAGCTTAACATGTGGAGCAACATACGCCCAATACACTGTACCAACAACAACATCCTTGCAACCCTCAACATACTTCAATATATCTGCGTCGAGCTTAGAATCACCGGATGGAATTGGCAGACTGGCTTCAGCTGCTGTGCAAAGCGCAAAGCGCTCCTTGATTGTTTCGAGAGCTTTCTTAATGGCGTTTTCCAGGCTAAGGTTGTAGTGATACGCAAACAACAACACAATGTTCTCAATTTGTTCATCACACTGCGTACGTGTCAGTTTGAGGATCGATTTCCTGTAGAAGAGGGTTTATGCACAAATTCCTTTTGTAGGGACAGGACGTCATTCACCCTATATATGATTAGACAGCTGCCCAGGCTGCAGACTGAGGTGGTGGAAAGTACAAGCCACCAATATTTGCACACTCCTGTGAGACGATCTTGAGTGCATCGTGCTCGTGAACCCATCGTGGCAGTTCATAACCAAGGGCATATCTGAAGTTCGAAGTTAGCGTATCACATTGTTGTCTCATCTGGACTTTGGACTGTTTACGGGACATACTCTTGTAGGACAGCGGTTGGCATAACTCCAACGTTGACTGTTCGGAGCCGAAAATAATCCAATATATCTAGGATTTTGCCTATTTGACAAGCCTGTTTTTCTATAACAAAGTCAATCCAATCAAGGAAGATTCGGCGGAAATTATCCGCCGATACTAAGTAACGAATTTAGAATAAATCCCTGGCCCAGAAGGCGGGGTGATTAAAGGCTCACCTGGTCCCATATGTACACGAAACTCGGCCAGAATAGGGTAAAACATCTTCACCGATTTGCGTATATTTGGGGGTGGGCTGAAGTTCGGGTTTGAGCTCATGCAGTCTTCGATACACCTGGTAAGTTGTCGACATGAGTCTAGAACGCCTGCTCTGTCGTCGGCAAGCTGACCGCCAGGGTCGACTTCTAATAAAAAGTTTAGGAATGGTTTCGAACAAAAGGAAGTCCATTATACCATCATCCCAGATACCCCACTAGGACCTACTCGTTAACGAAGCTTTTACCAGGAAGCGGCATCCCCACCTATCTTACCAAGCAGATAAACTTCGCCAAGACTAGGAGCTTTTCTTGAGAGGTCTCAGGATAGAAAACCCCTACCATAAAGACATAATTCTCCTTTGAGAGGGCAACTTTGCTCTTCTCTGTCAATTCGAGACTAGTGAAACATGAGTCCAGATGAACTTGTTAGTGGAAATGGCATAAGATATACCAATTTAACCAAGCACGGTACTCCTCTTCCGCTGCATCGACGTGGGGGTTAACCTCACAGCGCCAGCCAGGGAGAAAGGAAAGTAAGTTTGGTACGACAATTTTCTGGTTTCTGTGTTTCTCTATCAGAGCCTTTCGTTCTGTGTCTAACTCTGATGCGATAGCAGCCCTCATATTGTGTGGGCGGAATGCCAAAAAAAGTACTAGATCTTAGTGAAAATAAATACAGTTTCCTGGGTTTTCGCCCCTTTTAATATTCCGACTTTCAAGTTCAACTCATGCACTAAAGTATTATTTTTTAATGTAGAGCGTAATTTGCCGATGGATCCTTCATGTCTGTTTGGCTGGTATTCTCGTGCGGGGTCGCCGTCGATCGTTTTCCTTATTGGCATGGCCATGGTTGTTGGGTTCAAATTCAACTGGACCTTGTGGTAGAAAAGCGTTGACCAAGCGGATCACGCGGAAGGTAAATCAATCCATGAGACGAAGTTGAGAGTCTAGAAGGCTGACCACTATTTAGCGACAGTGAATTTGAAGTCTGTCCTTGCCAAGGACATCAATCCCACATAGAGGAAAAAATATCCTGACATTGATAAGAACACGATGACGGTGCCACTTCTGGCGGCAGTCGTCGCACGTTTTATATAGGAGCAGCTGCCAAGGTCATTGCGCGAGGAGCAATGCAAACTAAGAGCAGAAGACAAGGCCGTAGGAGCATAGCAATGTTAGGAATGAAAGGAGACAAATGATTTAGACGGCCAACAAAACTTACTGTTGTATAGCAGGCGGGGCATCGGAGCATACGAATATAAAGATGAGAATAGAGATATATCGACGTAGCGGTGTACAGCGGAGACGGCAAATACGAGAAATATATTTGGATATAGAAGTTATCAAATGGCAGCAGCTAACGCAGAAGGCCCAAAATTGTAGAAGAAATGGATAGAAATAAAATGAAATGATAGAGGCATGCGAAAGTATTGGTGCAAATGACGGGTACGCAGGTGAGGTGGGATAACTAGCGACTAGTAAGAAGAGCAGCAGACAGACAGCATAATGAGACAAAGTAGGCATTGGAAGATTATTGCAATAGCACAATATACAAGAATGAACCTTGGAAAGCAGGTACTGTACTAGGACAGAGCAGAGACAACTGAACACAAGAAGAAAGGAACGTGACCTGGGATCCAACCAAGCGCCAATAAGAGAGAGGCTTGGCAGGAGAGTAGGGTGTGTGTTTCTCTCTGCAAAAAAATGCAGCGTCAACGTCGGCGTCGGGCAGCCTTGGGGTTGGTAACCCCTTCCACTCAGTTCCTTCATTTCAGGGCTCTGGTGACGCGCGCTTCGCACACTGTGGCCCTGAAACAATGTATCCAGTATGGAAGATCAGAGCTACAACTCTTATAATATATTAGTAATAACACATATCATACGCAGCTTTACTCTAGACCCAGGCCCAGTTGCATATGTGACTGCTAAATCACTGTTGCTGCAGAAGGTACATTTCTTGCAATCCAGTTGGCCACTCGCACGCAGCCACGTATAGAGTTGCATTTGGTGCGAGTTCGGGCGAGTCCAAGCCTACAGAGGCGTGCACCAAAAGTTTTGACAGCGCTAGTAAGCTTGGCTGTATCCTGCTGACGCAGCCCCCTAGTAATTTATATAGTAACGCGTCTTGAAGGAATAATCTTAGTTTACATTCTAGTATTTAACTCTTTAATACTATCTAAACTCACTATTTTCATTAAATCTTTAGCGAGCATCCCTTACCATGCCTAAGAATAGTTTCCATCTAATTAAATTGCGCATATAGATACTGGGGCTTATAGCCTGGGGCATAGAAGCTAAAGATATTACTGCTAGGCTAGAGGTTCCCCTTTAATCTATCTAGAAGATGATTTAACATGTAAAAGACTGTGGATTTAACCCTACTAGCTGCCAATGTGTTTGAATAGAATATGTTGAGGATGCTAAATGATCTGGCTAGCCTAAGGAGATAGAGTGGTTAAACCCAACCCAAGAACCCAAACCCAAACCAGCCTGAACCCGCCATGGGCTGGGTTTGGGTTAGAGTTGCATAACCAAACCACAAAAATCAAATCTAACCCTTACCAAACCTATCCCCCCACCCGGTGCCAAGATGAATTATATTGCGGGTCCAAGGAGGCAGCTAATCTGATTGGTTAAATTAATACACCTTACCCTTTTAGGTAATCGAAGCGGCAGAAAAATTTAGACATCACTACTCTCTGAAATGTAAGGATGTATCCACCCCTATCCATGCCTAGCATACTATAGATATCAACTCCCTACTTTGTCAGCCAAACACGCAGCTATCTAGCCTGGAGAAGCTAGATAGTAAGAAGTAATCTAATTCTGTTAAATCTGAAGCACCTCTAGCTAAGAAGTGAAGAGTAATATATTAGGAGAAGGCAGAGAAGATTCTTAGTAAGATTCCTGATATTAAAACTATTAAATTTAATCTAATTAAGATGAGCATACCTTAAGCCCCAGTACTACTACTTCCTAGTAGTATTAATACTTAGAAGCCACTTGATCTCTTTAATCTCTTCTTTACTAATAGAATTTAGGATACTATAGCTAGGAATACTAATACCTACACTAAGATTAAATACTTTCACCTCCCTCCTCATGAGACTTGCCCTTAGACCCCTATACATGTGAATGAGATACGCGTCTTTATTAGGATATTAATATATATGGGAACCTATAAAGAACCATCTATAGAGGGCTATTAGTAGTAAGATAATGATTTAGCTTTAATATTTAGCCCGCAGCATCTAATATCTTAATATATGAGTTTAGTATAATTTAAATAGCTTAAGCAATTCCTTTATATATTATCTTGCTATATTGGATACCTGTATGCACCTAACCCTCTAGATAAAGAGCCTACTGAGGCTAAGGAAGCTGGATATAATATAGAGTATCTTAGGAAGATATGGTAGTGAAAGCTTGAGCTATTAATTTTATAATTCTAATCTACCTATAAGAGATATTATAAGCCTTTAATAAACATCTTAATTAATGAGTTAATGGTATAATGCCATGGATAATTATATTACATATATAAAATGCCTAATAAGCTAATTAATTAAGGCTATAAGCTATATACCTTAGCAGATTATAGTTATATCTAGACTTTTATACCCTTAAGCTGCGTGCAAGGCCTTTTAGAAGTAATTAAGCATAAAGATCTTATATAGATAGATTCTATAGTGTTATAACTCCTTAAACACCTCCCTCCGCAGCTAAATTACTATATAATCTATCTTAATAATTACTTCACCAGTATCTCTCTATTTAATATCTTATGTTAACATGGAATCAGAGCATGTAGTACTACTAGGCTAAAGAATACAGGCCCTGATTAGCTAGAGCTGCTTACATACCTTAAAGATAAGGTATATTTACTACTATAGAATATAATTTACATAATAGTATTAGAAGAGAAGAAGGTGTTATACTTTGCCTAGTAAGATAATAATATTATACTAGGCATGATAATAGTCTATATAATCTATTAGATAGATAACCTAGTAAAACAGGAGAGGAAGCATCCATCTAAGACTAGTATAAATATACATCTTATAAAAGATATTTTTAGAGATAAGGTTATTAAAGAACTTAAGATTCCCTGCTTTATTGATAATTATAATCACTATATGGGAGGTGTTGATATTATAAATTAGCTTTATATAAGCTATAAAACTTACTGTTAAACCTAGTATACCTAGTAGCTACTTTTCTTATGGATTCTTAATGCGGCTGTGGTTAACACCTATTAAATTAGCTGTATAGATGTACAGCTCTTAAATTAATAAGGCTATATATAACTTTAATTCTAATAGGAGCTTTGCTTTACCCTATTATAATACTAAATAGCACTAATATACTAGCCTAAGTATAAGGCTGCGTGTGTTAACCTCCTAGATTACTAATTAGATAGCTCTCTTAAGTATGTGAAGGAGCAAAGGCTAGAAAAGCTATAGATAAGGTGTACCTAGTGTCTCTATATAAATTATATATAGTAGTGAGGTACTATTATCTAATAGATATTATAAGCTAGCCTTACTATCTAGAATTATAAGGCCTATAAGGTGCCTCTCTGCCCCCCTAGTCTATATATGTGCTGGCAGGACTTCCATAGTTAGGTTAATAGTAAAAATTAAAATTAAACCTCTGTTACCCATTACATATATTTTTGTATGGTAGAGGTAACAGAAGTTTAATTCTGGGTTTATGCTATAGATATGGTGAGAAAATGATCTAATTAAGCTATTCCACCTATCTCACCTCC